TTACAAAAAATTAATTTATTTCACTATAAAAGGATGAGTTTTAATAAAAATTGTCTACATATGAACTTTAATTATATTTTTAGTCTTTGGTTGAAATTATTTCATATTTTTCTTCTGGCTTTATCTAATCAGCCTAAATAGGTGTTCACCGGACCACTTAAATTAAAAAAATTGAATGATGTGTAATTTATATATAATTCATATATAATATGTGAATAATCGTGTGTTATCGGTATATCATCTATTTATAGCAGCTATAAAAAATAACCAATAAATATGGCCGAATATTATATAAATATTCCATAAGATTTCAGTTTTTTGAGTTTATCCATGATATAACTTCTATTATAATAATTTTAAAACTCTCTACTAATGTTCAAAAATATTTTATCTTTGAATTAAAAAAGTAAAGAGTTTTTTTTCGAAACAATTTGTTTACATTTAAAAAAAAAATATTTCACATCATACCAATTTTCTCTTTATATATACTCTTTGTTACACTTAAAGTCGCTATAGAAACTATCAATTAGAAACTAATTTCTCTCTTGTTGAGTTTGCAAAAAAAAAAAAAAACTTTCACATAATCTAATGATTCAAAACAAATATTCGTCAACGAAAAAAAATATTATACCCTTGCAATATTGGCTTGACTACAGCTAAATGAAGGGGTTTCAGCTTATATCCTTCAATTCCTTGAATGTGCTAAATTGAAATTAATGATAGCAATTGTATAGCCAAAGTTTTGTTATTTGTTTGATGTCCATTTATGCAAATTGACTCTTCAAACAAATATTCTTCAAGAAGAAAAAAGAAGCAACTTTTTTTTTTTTAATATTGACTAATTTTGTGATGTTTCTTTCTCCAGCATGTATGTTTACTTTATTATATATGTAAGTAAACTTTTATTTGGTTTTGTAAACTCTTTTTTGTTATTTAGATAAACATAGACGTGTACCCTATATATTACATTCATTTTGAAAGAATTTCGTTTTATTCAAATCTAGCTACAGTGTTTCAAGAACTATACTTATAGGATTTTAAATTTGAAAGAGTTTTATAGTTATATGGAGTTTTTTTTTTTTTTTTTGCTAGAGGCGAAGTAGTATTTAACTAATTAGAAAAAATAAAAAAAGTTCCTAACATGTTTGTAAATGATCATTAACCGAATTAAGTATGATAACATGTTAAAAAAAAGATAAATTTTATTTTTAATTTAAATTCGAGTTCTATAACTTTATCTATAAATTCAAAATTATCTTTTAATTCAAATTATATATATATATATATATATATATTTGATTTAACTAAAATAGTCAAATATAGAAGAAAGTTACCATATACTATTGACATTTATTAGCTTGCCACTTGACTTAACCATAATGTCAATTATATATGGTAACTTTCTTGCTTTAATATATATATAGATTTTATATAACAGCACTTCCCTATGATATTCAAAAATATTCGAAACAAACGAGACTGTTATAAAGAGGTTTAACTGTAAATGAAAGAGTCAAAGAAATTGTCGAGATTAAATTGTAAAACCCTATTAGTTGTCTTTCTTTTTTTCTAAAAATACTACTCCTATGTTTTGATGATTTTCTCACATTTGCATTTGCCAAAATATAATATTACTCCCAACATTTAGTTTACATGATATTCTTGTTTTCATTTTTTGGACTTGACAAAATATTTGGCACACTTGTTTTAACAATATCATTTTTTTACACAATTAACAACTTTAAGGAATTCTACAACTCTTCTCTATTTAATACCTTATTTCACTAATAATAGTATTAAATTTCTCGTCAAACACCATCACACAAAATAAAATGGATGAAGTCATACTAAACAACTAACCAAAAAGAACTCACATCTCTGTATAAAGTAAAATATGTTCATATTAAATGCTCGCATAATAAAGCGACACGTGGAACCGGAGTTAGATGGAAGCAAAGCAAATGTCAGTTAAGTCCGAGAGCATCATTCCCGTTTGTTCTCGAAGGGAGGATTGCTCATAATAAAGCCAAAATAAATGTCTACCGCCCGGTAATATTTAATGGAGAATACTCTATAGCATTAAGTACACAATCCGTTACAGAGAATATAGCATTCATGGCATGTCGTTACACATTCTTCAATGGCCTCCATAATTATCATTTAAGAGGAACTTGATCCTAGGACCTTGTTCCATTGGAGCAACTACAAATAATGAGTTCAACAACCATTGTTGGAGAGGAATTTAATGATAAGCTTATGATATATACTGTTCAAAGCTCGATAATATTTATCATATTGGGATCAAATCGATTCACTTGTCTATAACCACATATAAATTCAACTGTATCGTTTTACGGGTAAACAGTTTGGTGCCCACCGTGGGGCTTAGACATTTGTGTAACTGGATTGATCCTTGCATCTATTACTAACTTGTTTGATTCTTTGTTCTTAGCAAAAATCATTAAAAAAATGGCAGATAACGATGTCAACATCGCACACAACACTGAGGCCCAAGGAAATCAGCCTCAACATGAATACTCGAGCAGTGATACCCGCAACGAGGGGGATGAGGCCACGTTGATCCATTGTGGACAATATACGTGACATGTTCAAGAGGCAACTCCTGATGATGCTGAAGATGAGCACGTCGCCGAAACAGTAAAGATCCTGAGGGAGCAACAAAAGGCTATTATGGGCCATCTCTCGCAACAGGATCATGTCATGATAGAGTTGAGGCGGGCGTTGTCGTGTGCTTCCACACTCTTCTCCCTAAACCATGTATAATAATGTTATATTTCTTCAAAATTACTTAAATATATGTGCGTCAACCCATGCACGCACCTCTACAAGTGAAGTTGGCAGTTCAAATCACGCTGTGAATGGTCTTGTTTTCAGCATGCAATATAGATATATATGTGAAAATTACTAAAATTTCAAAAAGAGTAAATGTAGTGGGCCGTGGTAAGATACTAAAGTAAACCAGTCAAATATATATTGTAAATCCACCTATTCACAATAGTGCACACATCCTCTTTAAAATTCTGGATTCGCCTCTAATAAAGTATACCTTTGTAGCTTCCTTTTATATCTATAACAAAGAATTTTTCGACTATCAATTATGCACGATACAGAACTCGACGGATAATGAACTTTTACTTGTTAAAGAGTTCAAGACGCACAAATACAAAACTCAATGGATAATGAACTTACACCTCTACCTTTTTTTCATTTAAAAACCTGACTACTTTTACCTGTTATGGAGTTCCAACCACTTATGTGCGTCTGATCCACCACACATCATGCATTACAACCTATCTTTTTCTTATACTATTGTGGCAATAATTAGGGCAGCTTGCTTATTGCATTTGTACAACTGATTTAGTCATGTTTGGCAAATATTTGTTACTTAAGGAGACAACTGTCTATTGGGTATTGGCCTATCAATTTTTCATGAATAGAATGTGAAAAATATCACTTTTCACATTTTCAGACTCGATCATTGTTTGAGTTCTACCCTGAAAATGATTGCTGTATGACTAAAAACATATGGACAATAAAGTATTTAGCTAAATTTAGAAAGGAAAAAGAAAAACTGAGAAAAGGCATATACTGTAATATTTACAGCTTCCTTCATTATAAAGGACATGCATTTACAGAAGATCACAGCATGAGAATAACAACTGCAATCCGACTATGCCCTACCTAATGTTGTTAGTTCAGTCAAAGCAAAACTAACTGCCCAAAATTCTATAGAGAAACTATTAACTACCTTGTCATGTATCATCTGACATTTTGTAAGGACTTCCAACTCAAGAAACCAGAAACTTGATGGTATAAATTTGATGGATTTATACATCATATACAGGCAAGCGCTCCTCAATACAGACACGGCAGATAGGGCATCTCTTACATTTTTCACAGCAGGTACTGCACCACATCAGAAAAGAATGAACAGTAATATTATTGGCGAGTAACCAGTATGCTTGCCCACAAAGGTAGAGCATAATACCTGCAAAGGACACGATGCCTGCAAGGGAGTAGCACCGTACTAATCTCTCCTTCAAAACAAACCCTACATAAAACTTTTTCCTGCGGAGTATAAAAAATCAATTGGAAGTTAATGTGATCAAATATACAAGAAGAAGATCTCACACCAACAAATGTAACATTTTGCACACAAGAAAAATGAGATTGTTCAAAATCGCACAACAAACTCTACCCACATCGTCTCAAACAGCTACCATTATCCCATATCTCAAGCTAAGACCGATTAACTAAACCATAGCATTACATTTATCGAAGTATTCATTTAGATCACCAGACATGAAATGTAAATGTTACCAGAACTCCTGGGAGTGAAATGTGAAGATAAATCAGAGAATGTCAATGATGTTTTTATTTTTTAAAATAAGGAAACTGTTGATGATGTAAAACCTAAGGATCACCAATTAGCGGATTGCGCGTAGCTGTTGTTGTGGTCCTAGGTACAACTTAAGATATTCCCATTAGCAAGTACTATTTCAAGCCAAGAGGCAGAAAAAAGCTATAGTTAAGTTACAGTCACTTCAGTTAGTGTAACTGTCAAATGTTTTATTTTCTCCTCGGAAGGCAGTGACAGTAATAATGATGATAATAATAAAATATCCAAGGCGAAAACAAAAAGATTTCTAGTAGTCCAAGGTCAGGTTAGGGATTTAAAAATAAGAAAAAATATTAAAAGAAAGATTCAGACAAATGTTACTTCATAGTCTGATGGAAGGCAAAATTATTTAACCAAAGCTGAAAGATAACACAGCCAATAATGTACAACAACAACAAATAACTAGAAAGTACAAGTATTGCCCATGAAACATAATCATGCAATATACTGAAAATGGATTAAATATCATATCTCCTGCACCACAGAGTTGTGAAGGCCTACGCGAAATTAAGAAGCTTACATTTTGAAGTCTTTCATATTCCTGCTGGCTCAATTTAGTAATTTCTGCTTGCTCACCCAGAGCTGCTTGAAGTCTCCAAACCTATGACAAAGCCCAACAGAAGACAAAAGTTAAGGAAATACAGAATAAGCAGAACAGAGAGCATCTGATCAATCAATAAAATGGTATGAACACAATTTCAAATTTTTGTGGGAATACAACAACAACAAAAAACCCAGTGAAATCCCACAAGTGGGGTCTGGGGAGGGCAAAGTGTACGCAAACCTTACCCCTACCTTATACGATTGCAAGTAAATAGCAAGAGTTATTATTACAAGAGTAATTGTTTTATCAATGAAAAGCAACTGATCGTCCAAAATAGGGTGTGAATATAATATCAAAATATGGTCGGCACTTACCCTAACCCCCCCCCCCCCCACATACACACACACAAAAAAAAAAGAAGATGTATTTCACGGAAAATGCGTTAGATTATCCAATAGAACGTATGAACATCATATAAAAAATTTGTAGGCAAGTACGATCAAGTGACAATTATGAACTTATGAGGGAATATCCGAGAGATATCAGTACAAGGATATACTGTGTATATAGTTTTTTATCAAGAATTTTTATTTGCTATATAGGTATACATGGCAGAGATTATTAGATTTCAGGAAATTGTCATATAATATCATACACAACTTGGTTTTAAAATATGAATCCCGAAAAGTTCATAAGTAGACAGAGAAATGTACGTTAAACTTACCTCCTCAGCAAGATCCTTCTTGGGCATTTTCTTGACTATTTCAGGTGGATAACCACAAAAAGTATTATACCTACAAAACAATAAGTAGTTACTATAATGAACTAAAGTCTCTCTTTTTTTACTTTTGATCAAGATAATAAAATAAAGTCTCGATAGCAGACTTCATCTCAGCCACATTTACGATTCACGAATCTAGTAATTGCTCGTGCAAAGAAAAGCAAAAGGCACTATTGCTACCATAAGCTTTAACATCACTGAACTATAAGGACTGAACGAACTCCAATTCTATGAGTAGGAGTGTTCAGAAAAGATTAAAAAAACAGACGGAACAATAAACTAATTTACAACAACATAATAAACCGACGTGTTCATTGATTTGGTCAATGTGGTGTTAAATCTGAGAAACAGACAAACTGGTATGGCTTTGCTATTTACAGAAAATGTTGAAACGAAACCAAACCGACAATATTTCTCTCTATTTGCTTTTTGTAGATGAGATTATCAACCCAAACTATGGTTGGCTTCTCAAGTTGAAGAAGTTTGTTTCAGCTCTTGTTTAGACATATTCATTGCAAGTGAATTAAGGATTTAAATTATTCAATTAAAGAGTTACATTATTTTGCTCCTTCACCTATGCAGAACCATCTTAAAGATATGGCCTTCACAAATCATCTTTTACCACTGTCCAGCATTTCTGATAGAAACCTATCAAATACCCATTTTGGAGCTTATTTAGCTAATAATGCATGTAGTCGGCTTATTCTCTCTAGGGTAGAAACTATAGTAAAACCAAAATGCAAACACCCTTACTGTAGAGTTTAATTTTGGATTTTATAAGTTTTTTAGGGCGGAGGTAAAGTTAAAGAACCTAACAGAAAAACCAAGCACAATTTATAAAATAAAAAGTTCAAAATCTACAATTTCATCGTGGGAATCTTAGATCATGGACAAATTGTGAAGTGTGAGATGATTTCAGTAGCAACATCATGCTTAAAGCGGGAAATGGAAACATGATTATCTTTTGGAAGCCTAGATGGCATGACAAAGATGCTCTCAGTAATGTCTTCCCAACCATCTTTTGGACATTGAATTCTTTGGCATTTGAGATTCAGAAGAAACCTAAAAGATGGTGGAATTCTTTGGCATTTGAGATTTAGAAGTAATGTAAAGAATTGGAAAATTGAGTTCCAAAACCTCATGAAATTACTTTATGAGTAGAACATCACAGTTTTGGACCATGATCATGAAAATGGAATGAGAAAGGAAGCGAAATTCTTTCAGGGAAGTCCTTCTACCACAGATTAGTAAGAAGGGAGGACAAATGATCAATTCCAGAGCTCCAAGAAAGGTACACTGATTCACTCGAGAGGTATACTTTTCACTTGACTGGCAGTAAGGGGTACCATTTTTACAGCCAATTATTTGAGGAAAGGAAAAACATATATTAGCTGACATCACATGCAAAGACTCTCGGAAGAAGAAGACGTAAATCACTTGTTGCATAGCCAAGTTGCTACTCAGTTTGGTGGACAGCGGTAAATTGGTAGGTAAGTGGTCAATGCCAGCTACAGTCAATGATGTAATGTTCAGCTGGGAAGAAAATAGAAAATGCATAGCTTATGATATAGCCATTTGGCTATTATCTGCGCAGTTGGGGGGAAAGGACAGGAGAACCTTGAAGGATTGGGAAGATCTAATATAGATGATGGCATGTCTTTTCTTTTAGCAAATTTTGGAGCAGCTATGAGGTTCTTGTCAGCGTAGATGATTGGATATTATTTATAGAGAACGTACTTTTGTGTACACTTTCTACTTTTGTTTACCATTTGTACAGAACTTTTTCACGTGACCACTTGTGTGTATGCGTGTATATATATATATATGTATGAATTTTTTTTTTTGCCTATTACTTTATCAAAAAATAAACTTGTCCTTTCACCATGGAAATGAAATGCAATGCAAAGAACTCAGAGGCAGAGGAGAAGCAAAAACAAAGAGGGAAAACCACTCTTACCCCGGAAATCCATCATGGAATAGTCGAGCCTGTTCTTCTCGACTTGATTCATCAATGGACCACCAACCAAGTAGCCTGCTTATTGAAAATACCAACACATATTAGGCACCACTTAACTGCAGCATCAAGAATCACTATTATGTGGCAGTTAAAAGTCTTCTTGTTATCCCATAATTTTCTGATTCTTCCTTTTGCACACCATGTTTTACAGAAAAGAAACCTGTAATGATTTATCTATCTGCATCTTGTTGGTTCTTCATAACTTTACCTGGAACCGTGATGCATAAACGCAAAGCAGTCACGCACTCTTGAAGAGAATACATGATATCGTCCCGCAACAGCTCCACTTCGCAATAAAAGAATAATTTTCTCAACAAATCTTAATGTAGCAAACAAGACCCCAGCTCCTTGCAATAGGAATATGGGTAAGAATAGAAGTGGAAGGGAAATGTGTCTTGCACTTGCAGGTGTTCCCTGAAATTCAGAAGAATAAATTAATTGATACAAATTCCAAGTATATCCTCCAAAAAGTAGCTGAGACACAATTATACCAGAGTAGCTTACCTCCAGGCGCATACAGAGGAGGATTTGGAAACATATGATTGGAACTTTCATTAGGTGACCACCGAGGTCTTGCAGCCCACACATTCTATTCTGTGGTTCCTCCTCTGAGGAAACCACTAAACCACTATTCCAGTCAAGATATCTGATAGTAGTAGATGATGAACTAGCTCCATGTGCAAGAGAGCTTCCATGAATCGTTGGATTTGACCACTTCGTACAAACAAGAAAAGCAAAGCACTCAGCAATACTGCCAAAAGATGTTGAACTTTGTCAGTTTTAGCCGAATCCACTATAAGAAGAAAGACGACTAAGAGCATCACAAAAAAGAAGTACCCATAATTTATAAACAAGTCCCACCAGCCCAGAGCGCCAACATCACCTGGAACAACAAAGGAATAGTGTAAGAATAGGTATTATTGCTGCAAGGATTACACCCCTACATGTATACATACATGTTTTGGAAGAAAGATCAATTAATCCAAAAAAAAGAAAAAAAGAATAGGTAGTAGTGACGTAAAACACTTGCATACTATAAATAAACCAATCAAACCTTGGATTACATTTAGAATTGAAATATAACTCCCCTTAACGGAACATGAATTCCAGGATTTTCTATTTTCTTTTTTTTTCCATCTCAATATTTCATCAACCAATGAATAGACATATAAGTGAATATCCAAAGACCACTTTCGGCCACATTGTATCACACCTAAAAGCTGTCGCGTAAAAGCACTTGGTCCTAAAACACTAATCACTGGTAATGTGTCGCTCTTCCCTGAAGAAATTTCTGCTTTTCAATATCCAATTACTTGTAGGATAAGTTCTCAATTGTGCAAAAAGAATATGGTGGATTCAAGACCATTAGCTGGCATAATTAAATGGAAGTAATGAACTAAGACGGGCTTCCAGAATATCAAGGTATTGATCAGCAAATGCAACAATGGACCTCAAATATCTTGTGACGACCCGACCCGTCGTCTCATGTGTTACTGCCCCGTTTTCCCCATTTATTGCTTCTTCATGTTTCATTATCGGCATTTGGTAAGTTAGAGTCGAATCGGTTTGGTTTTGGTAGAAAATGAGGCATTTAGTCTTTTTAAGGAAGGCTTGTAATGGAAAAGTCAACCAGATGTTGACTATTGAGTTAGAGGGCTCGGATGTGAATTCCGGTGATTTGGTTAGCTTCGGGGGATGATTTGTGACTTAGGAGTGCGATCGGAATTGATTTTGGAGGTTCGGTGTAGAATTAGGCTTGAATTGGCGAAGTTAGTATTTTGGCGAATTCCGGTTGGTAGGTGAGATTTTGATCCAGGGGTCGGAATGAGATTCCGAGAGTTGCAGTAGCTTCGTTAGGTGATTTTGGATGTGTGTGCAAAATTTCAGGTCATTCGGAGGTATTCTGGTTGGGTTTTTGATCGAATGCGTGTTTCGGAAGTTTTAGAAGAACTTAGGCTTGAATTCGATGAGAAATGATAGTTTTAGTGTTGTTTGAGGTGTTTTGATGATTGGAGCAAGTTTGAATAAGGTATTGGATCATGTTGGTGTCTTTGGTTGAGGTCCCGGGGGCCTCGGGGTGATTTCGGATGGCTAACGGGATGAAAATTGAAGTTGGAGATTGCAGGTTCATATCTGATATCTGGTATTTTCGCTTCTGCGGAAATGAACCGCAGAAGCGGTCGCGCAGAGGCGAAGGGAGGATCGCAGAAGCGACTTTTGGGCCTGGTGCTGTTTTCACAGAAGCGGTTATGGGAGCCGCATCTGCGAAGCCGCAGATGCGGAAGGGAGACCGGAGAAGCGGTTTTTGAATTTTAGGAGATTCCGCAGAAGCGGAAATATTACCGACCGCAGATGCGGTAGTCGCAGAAGCGACAAAGGACCGCAGAAGCGGAAATAACTGATCAGAAAGGGTTTTAATTCCCTTCGCGAAATATTTACAGAACACATATTTTAACTTCGGACTTGGGGTGTTCTTGAGCGATTTTGAAGAGGAAATTCAAGGACTTCGATCAGGTAAGCATTCTTGGACTTGGAACACAATTTTATCATGCAAATACATGAAATTTCACTGAAAACTCAAGGAATTAAGGTCAAAAATGGTGGTTTAAGGCTTGAAACCTAAGAGAACAAAAATGGGAATTTGAGGGGTCATTTGGACTCCGATTTTGGTGTTCTTTATATGTATAGACTCGTGGCGAGATAAGGAATCCGGTGATGTAAAATTTATAATTTTTCGAGAAGCGGGCCCGGGGCTCGGGTTTTGCCAACTTCGTGATTTTCGATGTTTTTCGAGTCTTTTCGATTGGGTTATATTCCCTTAGCATATTGTGACGTATTCGTTGTGATTTTGGTCAGATTCGACGCGCGAAGAGGTGAATTCGAAAGGCAAGGGCATAGCAAGCTAGGACTTTGGTCGGCTTGAGGTTAGTAATAAATGTAAATGCTGTGTTGAGGGTTTGAAACCCCGAATTTGCACAACGTAGGGCTATGTGAGGTGACTTGCACGCCGGATAACGGGCGTGGGGTAGAGCACCGTCAGGGATTGTGACTTGGTCCGTCCCGCTTAATAAAAATTGATACCTATTTGATTGTAGATTTGTAATGTCCTTATAAAAAAATGGATTAACTGTCATAATTGGGCTTCGTGCCAACTACTTGAATCTTTCAGGGATTATTTTAATGGTTTCCTACCATATTTATAAATATTAAACTCAGTCCTGGTATTTAATACTGTGTTTGAAATCTCAGCCATTTTCTTAAATTAGAAATTAAGTTAATATTTTTAAATGAAGTTTGGGCTGAATATTTTTATACTATTGTGTGATCTTTGGACTGAGTATGGGATCGGGCTGCACGCCGCAGCAGTATTATAATGATATTGATATGAGGCCAAGGGCCTGTTTGATGCCACGAGATGGCTTATTATTGCGCTTGGGCCGTAAGGGGCCCCTCCCGGAGTCTGCACACCCCCAGTGAGCGCCGTCGACGTTAAATAAATGGAGCGGGCTGCACGGCCGCAGCGGGGTACTGGAGGTACCGGTTTATGTGTTGCATTGCATATTTAATTGTTATTTATTTCTTCATCTGTTGTGATGTTTATTCTAACTGTATTGTAGTTTAAGGGTATTATTAGCTTCACTTTGTGTTTATTTAGGATTTCTTATCCTCAGACCTTATTTATATTTATTACTTTCTGAATTGGAAGTACTCACAATACTCCCTGCACCTTGTGTGCAGATCCAGGTACACCAAAGGGTGAGTGAGGACTTATTAGCTGAGCAATGATTATCTGAGAGTGTCGAGGTAGCTGCATGGCGTTCGCAGCCTTGATCTCTCCCTTCCATCTTTTATTATTTCATTCATATTATTTTTCCTGGTCGGACTTGTAATAGGTGAATAATCTGCTTCTAGAGGCTCATGTTCGTGACACCAGATTCTGTGGGTTGATCAGTACTTTGTTTTCATTTTGGGGTTTTCGAATGTTAGAAATTATTTCAGAAATTCCGCACTAAATTGGTATTTTTAATAGTGAATATTTATTCATCTATCTAGATTTATTGGCTAAGGTTGTGTAAATGGTCGGGCTTGCCTAGCAATGTGTTGGGCGCCATCACGACCGGGGTTTGGGTCGTGACATATCTACTTATTCAGGCTTTTAGAAAAGTGTCTCTGATGCCTTTGATAAATCAGCAACAAAACTTTGAGAATTTCTCCTTGTTGCTTTCTGCTGAAAAAAAATTAGTGCCCTTTTGTGACTTCACTTCCCAAAAGAACATGCCTAAATTTGGGAGTCTTTCAGTTTCTTCATTTACTCTTTTTTTCTGATGACATAATTTAGGGTTTAAAGAGAGGAAATGACGAATTGACATAGGCTTAAAGAAAAACTGACAAGCAAGCACGAATGAATGGGACTTGTTTTGCAAGCCCCTGCTTCTCCTCTAAACATGACTAAGGGCATCTTGCACTGTCATCCTGTTACTTAAACAAATATAATTCATGTACTCTATGTCAAAATGACTACACAAAAACTCGAGGAATGCAATTGAACATCAATAAACTTCAACTGTCAAAGAATGGATGATCTTTAGGAAAGAGTACCCCCCCCCCCCCCAAAA